CGGCCCAGGTTCGATTCTCCGTACCACATACACACAAAGATGTTGTGTCCGCCGAAAACTAAAAAATAAATATTAAAAATTCTCTCTCTCTTTTTAAAAAAAATATTAATTAATTAATTAATTAAATTAAATTTTTAAAAAAAGCTATAAACTTCTGAGTGATGACAAATACTCATCTGCTTTCTTCCCCTTCCTGAGATTCCACAAACATGACAACTAAGGAAATTTGTTTACACGGTAATATACCAGGAGGTCTCTCAAGCAATCTGTTCCTTCTTAAAAGTAATGAAAATATAGTTACAAATTGGACCACAACAATTTTATAAACTCTGTAAGTTAATCAAAGGCTTGCCCCAATCAGATAAACATCATTTTAAGGAAACTACAGAACCACAGTGAGAATAATAGATTTCTAGTATTTGAAGTGGGCCTACTCCCAGTGTTCATTCTTTTATAGTTTTGTAAAAATCAGCAACAATGCCAACATCCAGGGATCAGATTGGTTTTGTGCCGCTCAAAAGACTATTACTGAGATCACTGTCACTATTTGAACTTTTCTCACAGTTGCCTGGGAAGGGAACATCTATACACAGTATTGTTATTTGGTCATGTCTTTCACTTTACAGGAAAAGCCTGATCCCCAGATCTTTTGTTGAAAATAATCATTTGCAGTTGTTTAACATTACAGCCTAAGGCTGTTGCACACTTTGTACACTGTAGTATGTAACTTGCATATTATGAGAGTGTTATTTAAACTCTTCTACACTCACACTGCATAACTTTGACTTCTTTCCCCAGTGGCATCCAAAGTCCTTTAGTTGGCGCGTGAGCCAGAAATTCCCTGGCATGTTCATTGCCTGGTACATCAGGAATACAGTCTTCTGGTTTAGTCTCATCTTCCTAAATGAAGGAAACAGTGTGTAAACAACATGGCAACAAAGCATTAGAATTTTGTCCCTCCTTCCTAGAACCCAATATTGCCTTGCTTTCTCTTCTGCAGTTGGTCCCAATGTCATCTTCAATCATCCCCATGAACAAGAGAGAAAGACAAATTATACCTGATAGATGGGACAGATGAKACTGGACACTGAGGAATTAGCAGGAAGCAGGTTTATTGGCTGCAGCCAGATTCAAAAGGGGGGCTTTCACCATAGTCCATCAATCCCTCTGAACCCAGAGTTCAGAAAGTTTTAGAACTTTATACCCAGTGTGTAGGGGGACAGGCTCAGAGGCTCATAATCTGCAGAATTCCATAACAATAGTTTTTGTTTTTTTTTTTCTGGACAACCAATTCAGGTCAAGGACACTCTTTGAAAATCAGTGCCTGGGAAAGGGAGAGTTTCCCTCCCCATTTCTTGTCAGCTGGCTTCCCAGCCAAAGCAAACACCTCTGTGAAAGCCTTGGGTTAGTCTTACTTATCAACTCTRCTTCTGCAAGTATACCCCCCACCTGAAAATTTTAAAAAACTTTTTTTCTTTTTAGTTGTAGATGGACACAATACCTTTATTTTGTTTGTTTTTATTTTTATGAGTTGCCGGGGATCAAACTCAGTGCCTCATGCTTGCTAGGTAAGTGCTCTACCACTGAGCCACAGTCCCAGCCCCCTGAAAATCCTTTTGCAGAAGTTCTGTTGACCGTCTAAGAACAATTATGGTGAGGGTCTCTGGAGAAGTTTAATTAAGATTTTTCTGTGGAGGAGGGGTTGCCATTACAGTAGGAGAAACAGGAAATCAATGTAGGAGAAGAACTACACCAAAAAAACAACTTTCTGCATAAAACAAAACCAAACTTTATTGCAGGAAAGTTATAGGAAAGCACAAGTATGTCCTTCACACAGGAATGATTTATGAGTGACACATTCTGATGTAAATTAGATGCAAAGATCAAAAAAAGGTTTCATTCCCTCAAAATGTGTGGAATCAGGCAAGGCATAAAACTGAAGTGGGGGAAGCATGCAGCTCTATGGTAGAGTGCCTAGCATGTATAAGGCCTGGGTTCTAACGCCAGCACCACCACCCCTACCACCAAAAAAAAAAGTAAACCAGGTTTTCTGTAATAATAGGATAGTATTTTATATTAGAACAGTTCATTATGGCCCAACACAGCAGTGCACATTTGTGATCCCTAATCCCAGCTACCTAAGAGGCTGAGGCAGGAGATTACAAATTCAAAGCCAGCCTGAACAACTTAGTGAGACCAAAATGAAAAATAAAAAGGGCAGTGGATATAGTTCAGTGGTCGAGAGAGTACTCCTGAGTTCAATCTAGTACCCTCCCAACCTAAAAAAAGAAAGTTATCAATCACAAGAGGTCTTTTGGCTTCACCTACTACTCTAGTCTCCCTTATGCAGAGAAACACCCTGACAGGGTGGCCAGGGAGCTGGGAGATGGGTCCCTGTTCAGGGAGGCTGGAGTAGATACGCTCTCAGGTCTCCTGAGAGGCTGCTCTTTGAGCTGAAGATATTCAAGACCCCAGCATGGGGTGTACTGAGGAGCTGGCCAGGTAAGGTAGGCAAGGAAAATGAAGCAGCAGTGCTTTAAGGAGAGGCAACCAGTGAGAGAAGGGGAGCTATAGCCCAGAAACAAACACATACCAACAAACGAACACACGAACGAACACACACACACACACACACACACACACACACACACACACCTGCACACACACGTGCTGCGCCTGGCTGATTCTCTAGGGAAGGTAACACACTTGATGAAATTTCCACAGAGGCACAAGGCCCCAAATTAGGACCTGTCTGGCATCTGCAGGGAAGAAACAGTTATTTTCATAAAAGGAGATTTAAAACCTATAGACATTTTTTCGTAACAAGTTATTGAGTGTGTTAAGTATGTTTCACAGAATAACCAGAGTGAAAAGTTCACACTAACCTTAATAAGCCCAGGAGGAGGTTTTTCATAGCTAAAAAAGAAAAAACAAGAAGTAAAACTTCATTAACCACATTAGTAGGAGCATAACACTTCACTGAGCTACAGGTAGCTGCCAGGTCAGAATAAAAGGATATTTGTAGTAAAAACTTAAAATCACATTGTTTCTATATCAGTTAATAAAATATGTTCAGCACTAAAGATCCCATGTAAATAAAGTGATCCTGCAGAGAACTACATCTTAAATTCACTGAAATAATAACTTATTATCCCACCGTAATGATTTTATTTTGGAAAAAGGGAAAGAGATTGTAGAAAGAACATGAAGTAGGAAGACTATGGGGTAGTCTGGTTCCAGAACATAATGGTGGTTTGTCAGGTTGCCTACCCAGCATAACACCCACTACTCAACAAGGAACGGGCTCTTGGGGGGAAGGCAATCACGTATTCCAGCACAGTTAGGGCCTCTGTCCCAGAGGCCCCTTTGCCCTGGCTTCTACCTACCCCACAACAGGGCCATCAGGAGCAACTTCTCAGCTCTGACAGCTCTTCCATTCCTATACTAACCACCCTGAACTTAGCCTGCAGGACCACTGCTCGGTGCCCCATCCATGGGGTACAGTCAGGACCATCACTGCTGTATCAGTCTACTGTGGGCCCTTCTTTCTATTCACCAACAAGCTCTGGGACCACCAGGGTCTTAAGGCTATAAACTGGGCCTGGGCTCCTGGTTCATTTTCACTTTTCACCATTCTGCTGAAACAGCTTGAAAAGGCTGCTAGATTCTATGTTTAGAAAATCAGCACCATATGCTCGTGTTCATTTTTAAGTAATGACACATAAACACACGCTATCAAACACAGCGTGGGTGTTAGTGTTTAGTCACGAATGCCTAATGGACCAAAAAATATATAAAAAGGGAAGAAAGAAGGCAAAACTACGGTATGACTCAGGTCTCTTCAATGCCTCCACGTGGAACATTTTACTGAAAGAGGTCTATCAGGGCACTGAGGCTGCCTTAAGAGTATATCTAGACTCTAGATAAAGTTGGAAATGTGGGAGCCCCCAAACTGCTGAATAAGTAGTGAAAGCTGGAGTGATGATTTTCTGTTTCCATAATGGAAATATTAAATCTGATCATCAGAAAAACACTAAAAAACATTAAAAGAGTGAACTAGATACTGATAATAGGATAATCATCTCCATAATAGTTTGGTCTACAAAGTAATACGTGCAAAACAGTGTACTTGGTACAGGAAAAGGGACATTATATATGACTATGTATAGATAGGAGGGACCTTTATTTTTCATTCTATACACATTTACACATGTAGTGAACTTTCCACAGATGTCCCTTGCTGGGCTATGACCTTTCTGGCCTATGATTTAGAAAACTTTGTTTCACTTCTGGCTGTGGAGTGGGTATATCAGCTTTTAGACAAGTCTACCCCCATCTTCTCCAAGCCTCATAAAATATGTCTTGGGCTGGGGTTATGGCTCAGTGGTAGAGCACTTGCCTTGGTGCATGAGGCACTGGGTTCGATTCTCAGCACCACATATAAATAAATGAATAAAAGTAAAGGTCCATAAACAACTAAAGAAAAAAATTTTAAATATCTTATTTTTCTTTAAGTTATTTTGTTAGAGCCTCAGAACAAGCAGAGGGTGCCTGGTGAGGTGGCGCATTCCTGTAATTCCAGCAGATCTGGAGGCTGAGACAGGAGGATCACGAGTTCAAAACCAGCCATGGCAATGGCAAGGCACTAAATAACTCAGTGAGACCCTGTCAAATACAAAATTGGGCTGGGGGATGTGGCTCACTGATTGAAGACCCTGAGTTCATTCCCTGGTACCAAAAAAAAAGAAAGAAAGAAACAGAGGTTGACCCATAGGCTTTGACCTCGTATCCCAGTGGTAAAGATGATCTATACACTTAAGAGGTAGAACTGGGACAATTACTCAGACCTCATGACATCTATTTTGTTGTTGTTTTTATTTTCTGATGACAGAATTTTTATTTGCAAAATAAAGTGTTAACAAACAAGAAAATAAATCTGCTACTGTGTACATATGATAAATGAGAGAATGAACAACTATAACAAAACCATTCCAACAATCTTCTCTGAGCCTGACAGCAGAACTATCAACCTGTTTTCTAGAAATATTCTATCATCAAGCCTATCATTTACCCAATTTTCCACTAACTTGACTTTCATGTCAAGTTTTTAAAAATAATATCAACAATTAAGTATAAATGAAGTAGATATTATAATCTAAAAGATATAAATATTTGGGGCTGGGGTTGTGGCTCAATAGTAGAGCACTCGCCTAGCAAGTGCGAGGTACTGGGTTCGATCCTCAGCACCACATAAAAAATAAATATATAAATAAAATAAAGGCATTGTGTCCAACTACAACTAAAAAAAAAAAAAGATATAAATATTCAACATCTGTAAAAATCAAGCAATAACCATATGCTCTATACATATGTCTAACTTTAAATACCAATACACCAATAGGGTAAAAGCAAAAAATGAGGAAAGTAAGCATGAGAAATCTGAAGTAGACCTATTAATATAAAATTTCAAGAAAAAGATATTCAGAGATAAAGGGGGAATATTTCATAACCATAATAGGATAACTTCTTCAAGAAAGTATAACAATCCTAAATGTGTATATACCTAATAACAAAATTTCAAAATACATGCAGTAAAAATTTATAAAACTAGAAAGACAAATCCACAATCATATTTGGAGATTTTAAACCCCTGCACTTTGCTGGAAGGAGTAATGATATAGAAGGCTTAAAACATTATCAGCCACCTTTACCTATTTGTTATTTATAGAGAACTATACACAAAAATGACAAGTAGAAAATTAATAAGGATAGACTATATTCAAAATAAGCTTTGAAATTTAAAAAATTTGAAATCATGCGGACTGTTTCCTGCATGATTTATTACATTAGAAATCAATCCCCTTAAAATACATAGAATCCCACCTCCATGTCTCAACTACTTCAAAATTAAATGGCACACTTATAAATATCTCATGGGTCAAAGAAGAAAGCACAAGAAAAGTAAATAAAAAGTGCTTTGAACTATGAGATAATAAAGTTTAAAATATCAGAATCTCTGGAATGAAACAGTACTCAGATGAACACTTATAACTTAAAGTACTTGTACCAAAAAAAAAGCAAGATAAACAATCAAATTAATTTCAAACTAGGTAGCAGGAAGGAAAAACTAAGTAGAAGCAGAAATATATGAAATAGAAAAGAAATAATAAAGCTAAAAAGTTGATAAAAATCTTAACAAGTCTAATCAAGAAAAAACACAAAAATTAATATCAATGGAAAGGGAGCTATGAAAACAACTCTACAGATGCTAAAAATATATTAAGGTGATATTACAATTATATGCCAACATATGTGATAGCTTACATAACATGCAGACCTCATGACATCTGGAGTTCTCCTAAAATAAATTTGGCTGAAARCTCCCTCTCTGTACAGAGTAAATTRTAACCTAACTTAATATGTAAACAAACTGCAACATAACTTGAAAGTTTATTCTAAAAACAAGTGGCTGATTCTTAGCCAATCAAAGCATCCAAGATTTCAGCTAATCACAGAGCACAAACTCCCAAAACATGTTCATCTAAGGCTAATGTCAACCTATAACCAATCAAGTGGTTTCTCCTGTCATTTTTTCCCCCATGTATAAATACTGACAGACCACATGAGTGGGTGTAGGTCTTTGAACATTTACTGGTTTGGTGGTGTTATAATTTGAATCTGAAATGTCCTATGAGGCTCAGGTGTTGAAGGTTTAGGCACATGGCCAGTCAGAGTGAAGCAGCTAGGTAGTTCCAAAGCTGTTGCCCAGTACCCACACGCCAGCTCCATGTCAAGCTCCACCTGTACAGGACTCTTAGTAGATGTGCAGCTGGAATCCAAGAATTATTCAGTATTATGTTTGTCACTGGTTGGGGACAAAACACACCAGGAAGCTGGGCACTGTGGCACATGCCTATAACCCCAGAAATTCGGGAGCTGAGGCAGGAGGATTGTGAGTTCAAAGCCAGCCTCAGAAAAAGTGAGATACTGGGCAACTCAGTGAAACCCTATCTCTAAGTAAAATACAAAAATAGGACTGGGGATGCGGCTCGGCTCAGTGATTGAGTGGCCCTGAGTTCAATCCCTGTTACAAAAAAACTAAGACAAAACAAAAAAACCCCACCAGATTCTAATAAGTGTTTTTTTTTTGGGGGGTGGGGGGCGGTTAAGGTGGGGAATTGCTTTCTTTTTTTTTTTTGAGACAGGGTCTCACTAAGTTGCCAGGCTGGCCTTGAACTATGCAATCCTTCTGCCTCAGCCTGAAATTACTGCTGAAATTACAGGCTTGTGTCACCACACCTGAGTTAGACTCTTCACATTTGCAGCAAATGTCTGATGGGTAGCTAAGAGCAGGATTAAAGAAACAGAAATTGGTAATAAAGGTGTCTTTGTATCAGAAGAGTTGCTCCTAAACAACCTTTATCACCTGGGATACTTTTATGTACATGTCAAGGAATCTTTATTCYCCATGAGACAGGGACTGAACCAGGGACCCAGAAGGCTGAGCCCATAAGCTGGAAAACATCAGGCCAGAAGGAAAGGGCTTTCTACAGGCTGTTTCTGTGTGCACAAAGAACAACTCTCAGGCTCTAAAAGAGTCATATCGCTTCCTCAAAAGTAATACATAAACTATTTTTTAGCTTAGATCTGTGCCTTAACCCTCCAAATCTCCAGGGAACCAATCATTTCAATGTTTTAATATTTTCTTCATCATGACTGACTGTCTTATCCACTTTTACTGCTATTATAAAATACCAAATGCTGGATAATTTTAAGGAAAAGAAACTTCTTTCTTTTGTTTCTTTTTGGCACTGCGGATTGAACCCAGGGGCACTCTGCCACTGAGTTTACATCCCCAGACCCTTTTTATTTTTAATATTAAGATAGGGTCTCACTAAATTGCTGAGGCCAGCCTG